GGTATTGTTCTATCATGTTCCGAACAAATTCATCTACTATTAAAAAACAAGGCGTGTAGGAGTCCAAAGCCAGATCCAAGCAAAGAAAATATTGCGATCGTTATGGTTATTTGTATCTTAAACAGGCGAAATCCATAACCACGTCTCTTGCTCTGTGCAAAGAACACTTCTAAGTCTTGCCTCGAGTGGAAGGTTTCTCCTGGCAGGTAATCTGTCTTGTCGTTCATGTCTTGTACGAGTGTTGATTCGTGCCAAGTGACGTAACTGGCTGACAAAAAGGGGAAGAAAAATTTGTACACTACGACCAGCGTTCCAGAGATTTGAGCCATATACTGGGCAACAGAGTGTAACGAGTCGCTTGCAGCTTCCCACCAGTCGAAAACGCTGGCTAAAAACACCACCAGGTAAAAAAAAGTGTGAACTAAAAACCAAACCCGTATGCAGATGATCTTTTCTCCAATTTGTTCATGCACTTGCTTGTGCATTATTACAGCATTTCGAACATTCCCATTGCATTTAGTCAGGCGATGGTATCCTCTCGTGAGATCGTTCGTCATCGCGAGGCACAGAGAGAAAAACACGCAGCAAACAGCGATGGACGAATACATTCCCCAGTATATGGAAGTGACAAGGGGGTACCAAACACCATTGCAAGCTTTCAAATTGGGACACTTATGAGTAAGGGCTTTTTTAATGTGTTCTAAGTCAAACATAACTTGATAATGGGCGTCTAAAAACAGGACCCATGACACAAGTAGCAAACCAGTGAAGAGACCCACGTTGACGGCTCGGCGTTGAATTTTGCTCAGACCTCTCCTCCATTCCTGTGACTGATATCTGAAGTAATACAAGGCTAGGATGTACGATGAAAAGCCGCTTATCCATAACGATGTGAGTAGTATTTTGGACCCAATATGAACTTTCAGAGTATTTTGGTCTCTCGCCAAGAGAATGAAATACATATGTGCCCCCAAGCCGAAGAGCATGTGAAATACTGGTATTAAAGTGAGCAGCCAAAGAGATTTGCTCTTCTTAGGCAACCAAACACCAAGAAAAGCAACCGCAAGGAAACAAGACAAGGGCCAGTGGGAGTCAAAGAGAGCGAACTTGAGTTGTTTGAAGATCCTGCAACGCTGACTCCTCGATCGTTTGCCAATGGCGTCTCCTTTTACACCAAAAGCAGTGGTTTTCACTGAGATATCGTAAGTATCTTCGGGCCATTTAGAGGAAGCAGGCATTTCGTCCGTTCCCAATCTTGAATAAATGGTCTCTCGTCCCAGCAAGGGTGCCTTTTCTTCGGCTGGTATCTCCACCTCCATTAAGGTTTACTTTATTTTTTTCACTTCCGAGATGATACTTGGAGATTGGTTCCCAATCTTCGCTCCATCGCTCAAGTGTTACTCGTTACTCGCTTAAACAGCCAGTGCCAGGCCTTGATCAGTAAACCGAGGGAGAACAGTGAGCGGCTGAGTGATCAAAGGCGGGAGTCAGTTAAAGCGGCCCATTTCCCGGCTGACAGTTGTCTTCCCCCTTACGTTGTTCGTGCGCTTCCCCCGGTTTGGTTTATACAGGTAGCCATTAAGCGTGGTGCAGTATCTATTCACGAGCCATGGGATGAAACAGATGAAGATGGTACAATGACTTTTGCCACTGTTCAGACAGTGAGTATATCTATTACTATTAAAAATAGCCATGGCCGTATTTTCCTTTTCTAGAGTTTTAACTGGTTTACAGGACATGCATCAGAGCTCTTATACCATGGACCAAAAGTATGGTCAGAAACAATGGAGATAGCTGTTTTTTTTTATTCTATATCTTGAGATATTTCTTGACATGTTATTTAAGAATGAGTGGCGATAATTTCACTCATACTTGTTGGCCATGAGATAGTTCAAGTTAACTCAATTCCTTCCATCTCATTGTCTGTCTACAAGCTCCCATGTACTGCATGCTGCCTCGTGACACAAGTAGTTAGTACGTATGAGGCAGTTGCGAACTTTTAGTTAGAGAAACATCAGTCACAGCTTTACTGTACATTTGACTTTGACAAATGGGGGAATTCTTGTTTACAATATTTGCCTCATTAGCATAAGCAATTCATTTTCTGATGGAGCTAAAAATAAAATCAGTTCTGAATATCGAAAGGTCAAAGTACAATTAACTCTGCCAATGAATACGAGCCTGTTGCATTGAATACTTTTTGTGCAACATGGGTTTAAAACTCAAAATTTTACACAATGTATGAGCTCATTAGTGCTTTTGCCACCCAGAAATTTTGCAGTTTTTGATGGACTATTTCTCCTTGAATATTACACCCAAAGAGCTAAACATTTCACCATGTACTAAGGTTTTCTAGCTCTTTAGCTGCCTGAAGTCAATTTATAACTAACATGCATCCTTCTTTACCCAAAGCCGTATGCAAATGAGCAAAAATGTAAACAATGACGTCAGCATGAATCTGCCTTTAGGATTAGGGTAATAAATTTGATCCAAACAATGTTGGTCCATGCATTGGTCATTCCCAAAAGTAATCTTATTTTTTCCAAAATTTGAGTGTTAAACTCCATGATATGCTGGTGTTTACTGTATTTTATTCCTTCCCGCTCAGTATTGGTAGCTAATGTGTCAGTGGTGTGTCAGCCAATATGTCAGTCAACACATTGGTCTATGCTTTAGTAGGCCCAGGATCAGATTTTTTACCTTACCAAAAGCTAATATGATCTCTGACTTAATTCAATGCATCAGTGTAGTAATATTAGGAACAGAGAAAAAGTTAGTAAATAGAGTTAGGGAATAATACATAGGATTGGTAAGATTCAGGGTAAATTCAGCCAGATGAGGCAATCTGATAACAGTTTATCGTGCCTTTTAATAGTATAAGGTGAATAGTAGTACCTGCATTTTCCCCTCTCCTGTAAAGAATGCCTGTCCATCACAGGGTCCCCACTGCATTTCCTGAGGATTACCTGACAGTTTGCTGGTACATATTTATTCCCTTGACTGGAGTGAGGCAATGCAAGAGTTTAGGGTCTTGGCCAAGTCCATGTCACACTAACATTGCTCTGTCTCCTTTGCATAGGGTTGGGGTAGGAGAGAATATGCCCTGAAGGAAATTTTGTAATGTCAGGAAGAAAGTTACTTCTTTAAATTTGATCTGTGTGATACCTGTTTGATTGTAGTATGGAGACACAACACACACGTTTGTTGAAAGAAAGGAATTCAGTGGTCTCTTTCTACCTGGCTACAAGTCTCTAATAGCCAAAGACTGCCTTCTTCCCAAACTGTAAGTATCCTTTAACTGTTCTGCACCAAAGCTATTCGCATTATGCATTACACAGATTACTTGAAGTTTGTAATACTTGCATTGTGTAGATGACTATCAGTTTTCATAACGCTTGCACTAGGTGTTCCTTTTCAGCTGAAGTTGGTGGAATGTCATTCTTTTAAATCAGTTTGAGATTGATTCTTTATTATTTTAGAGAAAAGGGTTTTCCTAATTTTTAATATGTTCATCAAATTCACAACAATGAGACAAGATCTCTTAAATACATCAAAAAATATCATTTAGCAGTTAAGATGACTGGTGCTATTGTTTTGTTTTTTTCATCCTTCACCAATGATGAGCACTGTTATTCAAAGCAATTTATAGTTTCACAGGTTTTGGTCTGTTGATGATAAACAGGTATGGTACTAATGTAAGAAACAGACTCCATGTACTTTTCCTTCTGACTGTCTGTGTAAGTTCACAACACAGATTTTTTTTTCACCCTTTTAACTGCCATGATCTGAATTTTAATTCTCCCCTCTAGCTTTTACACTTTTCCTTGTAAATTATAGTTACACAAATTTGGTGTTAAATTAAGATGACAACTTCTGCCTGATAAGTTTGAGTATTCTCATAACCTGTTTGCTGGGTAATGTATGGGTATCGTAGGGAGAAGGTACATGTTAATCACTTCTGGAAACAGTGTATCAGATGTTCTTACATTGGATATTTTTTAGCTAAAAAGACACTGACAGGAAAATGGAATCTGTTGTTTTATACAGTGCAGAGGAAGGTTAAATGAAGAAAACACTTGACTGTGTGATATGTATTTTCCTAATAATTCAAGTAAATGTTTTGAACCTGGGGTAATAGCGGGGCTCCCATGCGCGTTTTGCGCAAGTGAGGCAGAGCCCCATACCCATGGAATATGGTTAACCTCTTTTCGTTTGGTTGTCACATGACTGACCGAGCGTACATGCCCTCAGATTGCATGGGTAGGGTAGGGGAGACTATCAAAACGAAGGGAGGGGTGTCTCAGGCGAGTCTTGGCAAATGCACATCTTTATGTTAACATTAATTTTACGAACTTGGGAGCTCCACTTTTAGGCTTGGCTAAATCTATTTATGAGTTTGTCATCTAATGGTCCAGGTGGATGTAGCCCAGAGAAGGACTGTTGACAGTGGTGGTGAGAGTCGCACTGGTTAGAGTGACTGATGATGATCGACTTCCATTCAGTTTGTGGAAACATCAGCCACTACCATCAACAACAGACCTTCTCAGGACTGCTCTCATCCCGACAATCAGACAACACTATCACAGACATTTTCCTGTTTAGTTATTTTATTGTTTAATTTTCTAGGAACTTACCTACTTTTCCTTTTACTATTTTTTAGGCAAGAAAGGTTTGTATGTCATCCAATTAAGAAGAATCAGCTTTCAGATCTTGGGAGTGGGCAGAGCATGGGGGAGTGGGCAGAGCATGGGGGAGTGGGCAGAGCATGGGGGAGTGGGCAGAGCATGGGGGAGTGGGCAGAGCATGGGGGAGTGGGCAGAGCATGGGGGAGTGGGCAGAGCATGGGGGAGTGGGCAGAGCATGGGGTATTGGCTTCATTGTGAAAA